GAGTCTGCTGTTTTTCCATTTTGGAAAATACATTCTTTGTTGGTATAACACAAGAAACTGAATAAAACTAGAATATAGCGGGGTTAAAACATCATTAATTTCATCAGATAGACATGATGTTCTCAGCTGAGGTAATGCTCATTTAAAGTTCAGTTTATGTAAAAACTCAGAGGATGTCACCAGACCGAACTACACCAAACTATGTCTTACAGCAGAATCAATATGCAGCTCTGATATTAAACTGCAATGCCCAAATCAGGTTTGAAAGGACAATACTGTAGGTGCTAATTGTTGTCATGGCACGCCTGCCACCATCCCCCCCCCACCCCACCCCCACCCCAACATCGCTTCCAAACTGTCTTCATATTTTTTCATACCCAGCTAAACACACCTGTCCACTACACGCTGCAGCGAGCCTCTGGTGAGTTGACTCCTGCTCTGCACAGCTGCTGCTCATTTGCTTATTAGCTCTTCAGTACATAACTAGAGTGGTATTTTCATGCATTTCACAGATAAGTTGCTTTAGTATCCGAGGCGGGCTTTTCTCGGCTGTACCTGTTTTCTTGCCTTTCTGTGCCTCAACTCCACCTGCTGTGTCCTGGTGTCTGCATTCAGGTCCAGTTTCCCAAAACTGTGACAAAAGACAGATGGCTATTATCTGTCATTGTCAAACAGATTAATTATATATGAAACCATTGTCAGTATATACTGTGCACACATCTAATAGCATTAGGCAGGAGGTCAGTTTTCATTATCTTATAATTTTGGTTGCCAAGCAACATTTACTCATGATGGAAAAAACTTTACTGCCTGAAGTAATGTTCTATTCTGGAAATGCCTCAATATTTATACACAAGAGGTGAATTGAATTTTTTTTTTTATTTCTGTTAAGAGTGTAAGCTGAGTGTTAGCCACACCAGCTTTATATATTTAGGCAGCTGTCAACAGACTGTAAAATCGTTTACGTAATGACTTTGTAAGGCCAAAGGGCTTAAAGAGACACTGCCAGCATCATCAGCAAGTTGGTTGTGGCCTTCAAGTGCATGAAAGTTTAACAGACCTTTTACTTAAAAGGCACAGAACCAGATCGTATTGACCTAGGAGGCTAATCGACCTTTTTAACAGCAGGCATTTTGTTACGAATAACATTAACCACAGTGACAGTTTCTCTTTGTGGCACTAAATGTAACAATAATATTTTCTCAGAATGGTATCAGCAAAGGAAAAGTGGCTAACTGCACAGTTTTACATACTCAACATATGTTTTTCTGTCCCTGTGGAAGTTAAACATTTGAGTCCTCGACTAGGTACAACAGAAAGAGACTCAAACTCCGCTGCCATGACAGTGAAAGAAAGAAGGCAAGCACAAATCAAAGAAGATGGCTTCATGCTGTTGTTGTCTGCTCTTGTGATGCTTGAAACTGTGGCTCACACTTGCATTGTGATACACATTTTAGGTGACACTTTTGCAACAAGCCTGAAGCATTGAAATACTTAAAAAGGGTATGTTTCTGGCTTCATAGAAGCCACAGTACAGAAATCCACTGCTATGTTCTCGCAAACAGAGTTCCTTTTACATTCAGGAACACTGAAATCACATGGAAGATAACAATTTGAATATTTAAGAAACTCGAACCGCAAAGCTTCTTTTTTTTTTTATTGCTTAAGTGTACATGAATCCACGAATGAATAATACAGCAACCAGATTAAACTATTCAGTACACGTCTGGGTAAATGCAGTCACATGCAGTGATTGCTATGGTATCAACAGTAAGCAGTTAGTCAGGAGCTGACGGAAACAACTGGGAATATGATGTTATTAAAATTTCATTAAAGAGATTTGGGTAGAGGAGCTGTCGATGCCTTCTCTTTCATGATCTATCGTATCGTACAGTACAGAGCTAGGGCTGCTGATGCAAAGGGGGTTGCTGATTGGTTGTTAGTGCTGTTTCATATTTCTCCATTCTGAACTGTACTTCCATGTTTAAATGCCCCGTTTCATCTAGATTCAACATTAGTAGAACAAAAAGTGTGACCTTACCTGTAAACTATTTTTGTATTTAACTCATGTTTAATTTATTATCAAACGCTAATTTCAGAATTGATCATATGCTTTTAATGGTCACAATTAAAGCACAGACCAAGCTGGTGTATATCACGGATGTTTTTGGTCCAGGCTGAAATATCTCAACAACTTTTTGATGGATTTCTATGAACATTCATTGTTCCTAGACAATGTATCCTGTATCCTCTAGCACCACCACAAGGTTGACAACAACTACTAGATGGATTGCTGTGATATTTGTTACAGACATGACTGTCTAACCTTGCGAGGCAGCTGGACTCACAAAATCATGAAATCCATCTTCCCAGGCTCAAATATATGCACTTGTGGCCAATACTGCCAATCAGCTTCCTTTGAGGGAGTGCTGGCAGGTATGGGGATGGGCACTAGGAAGACACTGCTCATTAAAATCAATGGCAGTTAGAGGCTAGAAGCTGCTAGCTTCAGTGTAATCAGAACTCTCCATTGAAAGAAGAGTAAAGAACAGTACTGTTGGAAAAGATGTATTTGTTCTTCTCCCAACTGGCTTTGGTAATGGTTTGACTACATTATATGGTTTTGTTGATTGCCTGTGATAGACAGATGGTTCATCCAATCACCTGCTGTTGGTAACAACGACTTCCCAGATGTTTGTGCAGCAAATCATCTGGCGCAGTCAGGTTAGTTTCCTTCAGGATGAACAGTAATAATTTTTTTGATGCCTTAACTTCTTATCTGGTGCCATCATGATGTAAAAAATGTAATTGTTGTTGTTAATAACCAAATACCTGCCAAATAATGAAATTCCATCAGCCTCAACTACTTTGTGTTTAGCGCTTAAGCATGTTTTTAGCATGACGTTTTCTATATACCCCTGAACATTGGCTAAGTTGGAGTATAATTATTTAATTGCTTGTGTGGTAAGCAATCATCCCACAATTACAGTCATCCAGTTCTCATTAGGTTGGCAGGTGTCCCCTCTCTACGGCTACAGTCAGCAAGGGTCCTCCTGCGCTCGGAGTCTGCAAAGTACAGATGGCTGAGTGGGTGACCCAGAATTCATGTGCTCTCTGACCGCAGCCCAATTACCATCCAAACACTGCAGATACTCAGTGAGTTAGGTAGGGAGGGAGAGAAAGTGTGGCTTTTAAGCTAAAAAAAAAAAAAAAGCCAAGTGCAGGTTAGATAGCAACAGAGCCATATTTAGACAGTGGAGTGGGCTGTGAAGCTGCATGTGCAGGGGGCTTAGTAAGGTGTTCTGCCACCTCTCTACCGCCTCCCATGCCCCCTCCTCTCACCACCTCTTCCTGTACAAACCGCTACATCATTTGTTTCTGAGACTACCTTTACTCCAGCCTCAACTCCTCTCTGGCTTCTCTTTGTTTAAACAGGAGCTATTAGGGCTTGAAAGACAGCAAATTAAGCTAATGGGCCTTATGCAAACGCTGTCCTTCTTGGCTATTCAAAATAACAGATTGCGAGGCCCCCACATGTTTCAACATGAGGACATTAGGATGGGATCAGACAGAGAGGGCACTGCTGATGCTCAGCTGAATCTTACACGTTAAAAGCGCACACACCCCATTAACGTATGCAGAAAGCTTTTCTAATAAGCCAAAAAGTGTGTGTGTGTGTGTGTGTGCGTGAGTGAGTGAGTGAGTGGAGAGACAAGAGATTTAAATGTAGCCCAGCAGCTAGTAGACTGGGCATGTGTGTGCAACTGCAGAGTTACATGCGTCTTAGTTTAAATTTGTGAGATGTTAAAGGATGAGACTGGTGATACTAAGAAAAGACATGTAAACTACTGTCCATAGTCTATCTCTCAAAACTTTCTAAATTCCCAAGTGTGTCCTTTTGTTTCTTTTGAGGATTTAAATACAGGTCATAGGTAATATTCATTTTTTAAAAAGAAGAACAGCCGGGCACTGCAGCTTTTAACAAAACTTACTCAAACAGGAGTAAATAGTGCATTTGTTGGGGGCTATTACACATCCGGTGCTCTGTTGAGTATTTATTTCTCGGAGCAAGATGGTGTTTTTGAGATGTTCATCATAAGAAATTAATATGTCAGCCGGTGCAACAGTGTGGCTCATTGATGTGTTTTAGTAGATTTTGGACAACAATGTAGCTCCAGGGTACAAAGGAATAAACACAGAGAAAAACATTTTCATGGGATTTGTTAATATATATATATATATATATATATGTTATCTATATCAAGAAATAGCCTGGAAGAATCCACAGCCGCAGAAAAGAGGGCGAGACTGCCAGACCGATAATTATGCTGCAGGTGTGGGACACAGCTGACAAATGAGCAGGAAGCATGTTTGAGAGTGTGTAGGTGTAGCCAAGCGCTCTCCAGAAAAGGCACACAGGCCGAAGCATAACATCCACAAAAGCTCCTCAAATGGCTGCGCTCACACTCATTCTCAACCATGCCCACTCATCGCGCTTTACATAAGCACGTAGTCTGTGTGTGTGGTATGTGTGTCCACCAGAGAGAAAACACATTACTCATTTACACTGAGGGAAGCCATCGTCAGTGTCCATCAATCTGTGTAGGGAGACCCTGAAGCCCCTGGCAGTGAAAGGTCCAGGGAACACACACATACTCACACAGGCCATTACACACACTCACGCTCACCTGAAGAGAGAGAAAAGCAAGAGAGAGAAAGAGAGAAAAAAGACTGAGTTACTTGTACATTTTTATGACCCTGTAACTTCCACTTTGGTGATGGATCGTTATCACTGGCAGGGCCGTGCCACCCACCACAGGCAAGGACACCCAGTGGCTGGGTGGGAAACAGAAAGCTGGGGTTGCTAGCATGGAGTATGAGCACCTGTACTCTGTTTCTATGTGAGTATGTGCAGTTATGAAGGAGAATGGTTATGTATTTACAGGAGTATAGACATTATTAAGCATTTGATCATGTGGGTTCCTCCAGCAGCTGCGGACACTGAGGTGACAGGAGGAGTCAGAAGACGGATGAGGGCCATTGTGGGCAAACAGTCCACTTATTTAATGTGGTTTTGTCCTCGGGCCCTGCATAATGAAACTGCCGCAGTGAACTGATCAGATATGTCGGAAATTTCCATTACACCTTAGCAATGCATGCAGATTGATATGAAATACTAGATTAAGAGTGCCAAATGGGATTTTAATTAGAATAATGGAATACAGTGAGATTCTTAAATTGCACTTCTGTCCTATGCAAAGCATGAACAATGAAACCAAAGGACACAAAGGGGTGATTAAGAATGTGTCTTGCCATGTGCCATGAATCTTTAATAAGAGAGAACTGTTTCCGGGCTTATGGACGTAAAGCCTTCTATGAACAGGAGCTAAATAATTGAAGATGTTATGCTGCATATGCTGCATGGTCGTTTCCCACTGACATGGAGACTTTGGGCTTACCTGGAACTGCAATAGTCAGATATCCAAAAACACAGAGGAAGAAATACATGATACCGACAACATGGACCTGCATGACTGATGGGAGATAAAACACCTCAGTACTACAATGATACAGTTACTGATTTTCCACTTTGGTTGCCATAAAACTACTTTTGTGGGATGTTCAAGTTTCAACCAAGGTCTAAAAAATAAAGATTTACGTGTCACAACCTGCCTCTCCCAGTCCATTTGGCTACACAGACCTGTGTCTGCATTTCATCCGTCTTCTTTGACATAATACACTCTTGCAATATGTCTTTTTTTTTAAAGAAAAAAGACAATCTTGATTAAACAAGAGGACGTGAGCTGCCAAATGTCTCTTGATAATCTGCATGATATTCTAAAAATAACATCTAAACTAACGAGGTCATTAATCACACTAATTAATGTGAATGTGTTTTACAAAGGCAACGTCAATATGATTCCCCCATCTTTTAAGTACTTATGAAAATGTTTCTTTCCTCATTAACATACAGTGTTATGCAGCAAGGTGCTCCAAAATCTAATCAGATCATCTGGTCTTCAGGTTCCCCCCAGGGATGAACTGTTCTTGAGTTTCTGCGCTCACAATAAAATTATTAGGCATCATGCCAGAAGAGTCTGTAGTGTATTTCTTTGTTTCTTTCTTTCAAATAAAACGTATTATGGGACCGCTTCTGCAGGCACCAGAGCACTCATTTAAAATTAATCAAGCGTGCACAAGCTACAGCTTTGTAACCTTCACTTAAAATGTATCCTCTGTTTATAATCAATTTTATGGAAATAGTGTGAACTTGATTGCTTTCTAAAATCTGTTTCTGTAATGAAAACTCGTCTGTTTCTCTAAGCTGCACCATGTTTAGACCCAGGCTGCTTATTATACTGTATGCTTATTTGAATCTACTTGTTTTTGAAGTTACTGTAATAATTAATTGATTAATTACTAAATTAAGTTTAATACCAGATCCAATTGCATGATATCTTAAAACCTCAATAATTCCCTTATAGGAGAACAAGGTGTTTTTTATAGGCTAATTTGGTGGAGAAGATACTAGTTTGTCCAATAACAGTAACCACAACAGACCAGAATGCAATGCACCTTTAAAATGTCCAATTGTGAGATCAATAAATGAAGTAACGTTCACGTGGCACATGGCTGAGGTGAAAGTGGGAACAGTCAAAATGAATTATAACACATTTACTCTATCTTACTTACAAACTTTATCTTGTTTTTATCTTGTTTGTCAGGACGATAGCAGTTTTATTTCCTCTGCTGTCCACAGATTCTTTCAAAATTTAAAATACTTTTTGTTTTGTTTTTTTACTTTATTTTTGTCCAATTTTTAATGTCTGTCCACATTTTTTGAATAAAACCCCCAGGGTACACTACTGATTACAATACTGCTTTGTTTTTACTAAGGTATCTTCATGGAAATCATCCAATAAAAGTAATGTGGGAGAACAGGTGTGTCTGTAATACCTCACTAAGTCACTATCCTGACAGGGACTGACCTGGTTTCTTTTTTATCAATTTGTACTGAGGCATGCTCACAGCTGAAGGTTAAAACCAATATTGGGGTTCCTACACGAACCCTCCCACACAATCCAAACCAATCCAAGCACAGTCAGTTTGAGTTAACACAAAGGGATCCGTGGCTCAAATGAACATTAAGTTTGATGCCACTCTCTGCGGGGCCACTGGCCGTCACTGTAATGCAGGTTGACACTCTTTCCCCAGGTCACATATACACACTCAATGATGCCCATCGAGGCTTATAGAGCCCTCAGTAGTGTTATTGTATCGACACATGACCTAACACATTTTCATTAACAACGTTCTCTAACAGTAATTCATTACTGTGCTCCATCAATTTAGGCCTATTACGTGGGTGGCTGACTTATTTATCCTGTGCTTATTTGTTTCAAGGCCTCATGAGACTTGAGAGCTCACAGTGAATAGACTAATGATGATTAAAAAATCCGATTACAGTTAATGATTCACATTAAATATATGAAATTTCACCACTGAATGCTTTTAGTCAACAATCATTCTCTTTTGATATGAGAGGACATATTCATGAAAGGAGTATACAGATGGTACCTCTTAGGCCGGTAACTTAAAGGAATAGTTTCCATTTTGGAAAACAGAGTAATTTGCTTTTCGCCAAGAGTTCAACATGTCAGTGCGATAAATATGCAGCAGGAGCCTGGAGACTGTGAGCTTTCCTTTGAATAAAGACTGGTAACAGGGAAACAGCTAGCCTTGTTCTGAAATGCAAAGGAATAACTGTAGTTTCTGGTGAGCTCTGAGTTCAGTCAGAGGCTGCAGTGTTTGTATACAGCCTAGAGCTTATAGCTAACATCTGTACCACACGGGCGGTTTGGGGTGTCAAACTCAATCACTGAAGGGGTCATCTTGAAATATAAAAAGGAGTTTGCGGGCCAGATAAGCAGGGGCATAGCCACAACTTTCCTACAGGGGAGACCAAGTTAGACACAGTAATTCTATTGGGGTGGAAAAAAATAACTACTTCAAACATACAGAAGACATAGTTTTATGAAGTAGTGTGGAATCATGGAGGTTGCTGTCTTTATTGTTAAACAACCATTATTGCTGATGAAAATCTATCTGGCGTGACACACTTTAGTGACGTTCACTGACTTCCTTCCTCATTCTCTGACATATCCTGTGGTTTCCCCAGGAGTTATAGCAATGTAAGGGGGTAAAAGGGATTGGACACTAATGTCAGGCAACCAAATGAAACGCAATCTTGAATAAGATTATGGATTCCTCTGGGTTGGAAATATTTGGGATCTACAACTCAATAAAATATACAACATAGATAATCGTATTTAGACATTTAATGTGGAAATGATGAAAGGGTCTGCCAGAACTGATTTTGATGTTTTTAATGTGTTTTTTTATGTTTAACCATGCAGAGTTAACTCATTCTGCTGTTTTACTGTCACTGGTTGAGAACAGAGAATGTTGTTGGGGATTGTAGTGCAGTGCGTTGAGGTCAATATTAATAATAATAATAATAATATAATATAACAAGTGTATCACCCAAAATCATGCCTACAGTTCGCTTTTACACATCAATTATTTCTCCAGTATTTTAAGTATCTGTGTCATGTCTTTTTAACGACAGCCACGGTATTTTAACAAAAATGGACACAACGATATGGGTGTCACAGTGGAACGACGTCACCAGTCAGTCACCAGTCTGTGTTTTCAGCTAGCTTGCCATGTGGACACACTGCCACTGGCAGCTAGCCTATTAAATGGCCATCCTCTCTTTAAGCCCCTGTGATCAGAGTGTGTCAGTCAACCAGCAGTCCCCCTCCCCAGGCAGCCTCTCAGGCTACTTACACGACTTCAGTAGGGATGAGAAGTGACAGACCACCAGGAAAGAGAGGACCTAATTGGGAGAATTGGTAGAACGGACGGATTGTTTGTGCTCAGTGAATAGATCAAAATGTTAATTTCGTCCTTGTCCAGATCTTCTGGGGTTGTTTTTAAAAAGAAGGGAAATAAAATAGAATTTGTTTGCACTGCCCTGATTGTGTCTGGAAATTACTGATAAGTTGACAGAATAACACAATCCAGTCTGAAGGCATCGGGGACCTCAACTACGAGATTTGTGTCCTTGGAAGCACCCTGATCAAATACGAAATGTAATGAGTTGGAAACATCCATTACTTTGTGACTCTCATAACTTTAGAGTAAATGGCTGGTTGTCAACTTCTCCTCCTTGATTGCCTCAGTATGCATGGCACCTGTTCAGCCTACAACTGTATAATGCTCTCTTTTACTTCCATTATGTTGGTAAAATAGAGAACTGGGGGCAATTTAACACTCGACACTTCTGTTGTTTTCCCTCCTTCCCAATTAGTTGAGACACAGTAGACCCCCCACAGTTGTATATTTGTACAAATAATGACAATTCATCATCTGGCCTCAGTGCTTATGGCAACATAAACAAATACTGGGTAATTTCAGCACAGTTCTCCCATATAAAAGTAAGAAAGAAGTAATAAATCAAGAAGCAAACTCCGGTCTCAAGCGAAATTACCCATAGAGAAGTGATTTTCCATCTAAGCATAAATGCAACCTCACATCAAAGGTTAATACGAATCATTTCCACAGTCTCATAGCTACTGTGTTAGCAGCCAACTTTAATTCCTATAAGCATAGAGGAGTCCTAAATATGACTGTGACCCTTAATTTGAACTAACTTATCCCATAAATGCACAACTACAACTGTTTATCCACTTTCCACTTTTCACTTACATAGATGTTACAGAGACAAGGGCCAGAAAGACAAAGTCATCAAGAGGTGGAGGTGAGTGTGATCAGTATCCCTGCTGGCATCTATTTCCTGCCTGGCTGGCCTGTCTGCCGTGTCACCAGCCATCACTTCAGCCCAGGCTCTTTCCATGCCAATTGGCACGTCTCGCCGTTGCTCTCACACTCTCTGCCACATCCAGAGAGGCAGAGACGGGACATATTAGGCCGGCATCACACATCACACGCTTCACATCATCACACACACGCACACAGAGATTTACGTGTTCCAATTTACACATGAAAACGGATGAGTGCACAAAGATGCAGAAAGAGACAGACAGGCATGCATATTCACACACACACGCACACTGTTCTCAATCTGCAGATGAATGTGTGTGAGTTGTATATTAAAAGGTTAGTGTCTTGGGGACACTGACCTTTAGAAAAATACTTTTGTTTACCAACATCTCTGGATGGAGAGCAGCTAAAGATCAAGATATAACAGAGGAGGGGATAAATAGAGTATGGCATATCAAATACACTGAGATGTACGTAACACGTTCCTTGTCCTTTTTCAGACCCTCAAGGTTGAAGCATCATATGCCTAAATCTGCTGGAGCCTGCTCTAATCCTTCTTGAAGCCTGCAGGCTCTCCATGTCCTTCTCATTGGCTTCATTAAAAGGATCCCTGTCCTTTCTATTTCCCTTTCACTGCCTGCCGCCTGCTCATCAACCGGGCCAATTACAACCAGTTATCTAAAGTCAACGAGTATCTCAGAGGGGTCACACATGCACTGCGCCTTCCTCGTCCTTCCGAAAGTAAAGTGAGAACTGTTATCTCTGCGTAAGAGGCAATGCCACTCATGTAGGTCAAACATAGGGGCAGCAACAGGAGTGCTCATTGTGTAACTATATACAGTGCATCGAGCATCCATGGAGATTCGTTTCTCAAACTTTTTACATGATTGGCGGGGTTAGAGTTTCAGGCGGCAATCTAATAATGCCCTCGAGGTCCCTTGAGAAAGAAGTCTGACTAGCGGTGCGAGTCAGGGAGGGAGCAAGGGGAGCGGTGTGCAAATTGAAAGTAATCCTCAGGCTCGGCCAGCGGTGCTGCTAGATTCACATCTATTCATAATTCATCACTCGACAGCAGTGAGGTGGAGAAAGTTCTGTCCGTGTAATAAACCAGTAAGAGACATCTTTGAAATGCACTGATGGAATCGGGCAGATCAGCCTCTGTACTGCTGAAGGTCCCAGGTGAGAACAATACTTGTTATAAGCAGGAAGACAGATTGAGAAGATAGCTGGGAGTCTGCATATTTCACATCATATTAGATTCTACAGCTGTCCATCCACAATGCTCAAGAGGAGATTGGCTGACTGAGCCACTGTCAGTCTTACATGAACTGTCAAAAGCCTAATTAGACATCGTCCAAGCATCGCTAGCAAAGACTTTTATAACTGACACACTCGTTTTCCTCCAACTGGAGCCATTTAAGCGTTAACCCGCTTGACCACAAGGGAGTCAAACTGCCCGGAACCTCTAGCGAGTTAATTCACCAAACCAAATAGACCCAGCGATAACAACTGAAGCTTGAACCTGCAAGAAATTTTTTTTTTGGCCACTTGGGCTCAGTGGAAACAAGATTAACATACTATAAATGTTTTTATGTTGAAGTGGGGAACTTATGTTGATATGGGACAACAAACTGTTGCCTATTATTTACACATATAGCAGACATAGAGCAACAGAAACATTCATTTGGAGCCGTGTTTTAGGCCACCTGTTGAATGTAAGTCCAATATTTAATCTTAATCTTGTATTTGGTCTCTACCCACTCTTGAGTAAAATGTCTGGCACTTTTGCTAGCTAGTTGCTTACTTTGTCTGTCTGCTGTGTGGTGCTGGGCAGGTAGTGTACAGTGAGATTTTAGCAATTTGTCTGGAAACACTGAGCAGTAGGAATACACCTAAATAGGGTTGGGTACCGAAACGCAGTACCAATAGGGCACCGGTTCTGACGTAAACGGTAGTAACTAGACCGAATAAGAACGAACATTTCGGTGCCTCATTTCGGTGCCTGACTTTTTTTTTTTTACCGCCCCCTGGTGTTCCGGTGTCAACTTGCGTGACGTCAGTGCCGCTACTCAGCAC